GTATTTCAGCCTTCCCCACTGCATGTCAGTCCCAGAACTTGAGTGAAATTGATCTGACTGGTAATTCTAAAGTTGGGTTCTGGGGATCTTTCCCCCATCTATATATGGATTAGTTTGGGGTGAGCATATATTTCAGGTTAAAGAGAATGAACATTGTCCCTGATGGGGCTCTAGCTATTTCAGATTACCAAATTAGAACACAATATAGGACTTCACTGCTAAGGTTATGGGAGAGAATCCTCTCTCCATCTTGGGCTGTGAACAAAACCGCTTACAGTCCTAGCTACTGCTAGCAGCTAGCTGCTAGTCCCTAAGGAACAAAAGCCTGTAGAATAAGACACTGTTCTTCTCCGAACAGCAACGAGGAACAATGCTGCTTGATAATAACATCACCATTTTTAACTCCTGAGCCTTCTAGCTATGTGAGTAAGCAAATTCTCTTGTGAGTTAATTATCATGAGTTGTCTTTTCTGCTACTGGTGCATTATAGTGTCTTTCATGGTACAAAGTCCATTACAGCATCTTTGTCCATCTGGGTGTGAGTCATGAGAAAACGCAAGAAGTAAAAACGACTTTTCCAAGGCTTCTTGGGGTTTTCTACTGTTATCTAGCTTGTTTTTACTTACTGGACACTAGATCCTCCACTGAAGGTCTATGAAAATTATCAAAGACACAAAAATGCAATATTTGGAGAAATTACATTGAGTTTACCAGGTAATGAATCTCTGAGACACTTATTAAAGATCTAACTAGGGAGTGAGGTTTCTACAGAGACGCAAGTAGCAAAGCATTGGAAGGACATGGAGATTGAAACAGTGTAGCAGCAGGAGCAACCTGCAGAGAAGTCCTCATAGAGGGTCTCCAAGTACCTTTCAGACCCACCAAGCTTTTGTTTGGGGGGATTTCTCTGTCTCTGTGTCTCTGTCTCTCTCTGTCTCTCTCTCTCTCTCTCCTCTCTCTCTCTCTCTCTCTCTCTCTCTCTCTCTCTCTCTCTCTCTCTCTCTCTCTCTGTGTGTGTGTGTGTGTGTGTGTGTGTGTGTTTGTGTGTGTGTGTGTATACCAGAGGCTAATGTTATGGGAGAATAAGGACCCCTACTTTCTAACAATGAGTTCTAAAGACTCAGAATGTCAAAAATAAGGTATTTTATTTTACAGCCTTGCAAGGTTGGGCACCAGTCCAGACATAGCGACCCATTAGGCTCAAAACAGCATCAGAACCAGAAGGCCTTACCCCCTCTTTGTCATTGACTAGTTCTCCAGGGTGCTACAATCTTTCCTGTATATTGCCCTTTTTTTTTCACCCCACCCCTTTTCGACTTAGTCACATAACACACTGCTTCTAGTCTTCCATTCTGAGATAAACTTTTGGTTTGATTAAAGAACAGAGTAGCCAAGAGCCCCAGACAAGCAGGTGTCAGTGTGGGGGCAAGGTACTCAATGCCTCCTGCATCTCTCAAGCCTAAACCCAACAGAAGGCTAATGAGGGTTCGGAGTGCACAGAACCAAGACCAGTCCAGCCTCCTGGGTCAGAATGCTGTTTTGGGAGCGAGCAAGATGAGGCCTGGTGAGACCTGGCAAAGGGCATGTTAGTGGCCTCTGTGGAACAAGAGAAACATTCAAGATAAACTCTTCTTCTATAGAGCTTTTTAAATTTCTTTCTTTTTTTTTTTTTTGTTAAAGGAGCGCAAGAAGATGTAGGTCAAGAGGATGTTGCATGCCTGCTCCCCGATGCTGGGACTGGCTGGAGGGTTCTTCCATGGAGGGTGTCCCATGCCTGTTCACCTCCCATCCTTCATGCTTCAGGTCATGTCACCCCCTGGTCCTGTTCTCATCACATTCTTTTATGTTCTTCCTAGTACTTTTCCCTCTCTAGAGTGACTCTCTGTAGACACTTGCCTCTACCAAGTAAAGTAAGGACTTCAAGAGGGCAGCAACGTTGTCTTGCCTAAACCACTAAGACCCTAGCGCAGATCTGTCAGTCTGTCCCAGTCCCACCCAGGGCCTCTGTACTTTCAAGGCAAAAGAGAAAAAAACCACTGTAAATCTAGAACTTGAAGTGTTTTGAGGGTTCAGATTCTGTCCTTGGAGTCTGTGATGAACAGCAAGGCTCGGATGAGAGTGTGTGGTAGAATGCACCTGTTTTCCCTTAGCTTACGTGATGGGGGCCAGGTACCTGAACTTACTGTTCCTGTACAGCTAAATCATAGAGCACGAGGAAAACATGAGTGCTAGGGGCCCCTAACAACCAATGCTCACTTCAGTGAGGGGAGAATGAACATGCCTTTTTCCGCCACAAACAAACCATAAAGGGCAAGTTTACATCTTTGCTCCATAATAAAAGCTTTCATGTTTATCACCCGTTTTCCCCAGGGCAAAGAGTTTAGGACCAAAATGAGTAGAGGAAAGTCTCGGCTCACACAGATAAACATCGCTCTCTATGAAAACAGATGGGAGCCTGGAGGTAATTAGACCCACTGTGTCCGGCAATCAGCTTCGTGGGGGAAGACCGCCAAACTGATGACAAGGGAGCCAGCTCTCACAGGCACAGACAGCGAGCCTTTTAGTCAGCGGGTGACGTCTCCATTGTGCTGGCACTGATCTGGGCCTGTTTTATAGGCTGTCCCTCCGGCTTCTCTATCATCTTTCTCCTCTCCCCTCAGCCTCCCCACACAGAGATACGCTGATCTGGATGCAACCTCCAGTCTAGCCATGTGGTGCACATCACACTGAGAACACAGAGAACATCTCTAGAAATGGGACCACTCTGCAGGATTGTACCTCCCTGGGAGGGACCCCTTGAACGATTTACATTTGCTCTCCTACTTACTCATACCTCTGCTGAGTTAGAAGAACATATTTGGAATCCCAAACCCACTTTATGTATTCTTTTTATAATAAGCTGATTGTTGCTGGTTAACTGAGTCATCAGTTCTCTGAGAGCTGGGGCAGGATTGAGTTTGTTCACACTACCACCCTGTATAGCACACAGTGCTTTCAGTAAATATTTGGCAAACAACAAGTAAACAAATGAAAGACAAATGGACACATGGATGCAGCAGACCCCAAAGACTGCTGCTATAATATTCCTATTATAAAATAGAGTGCCAACATCACCTCGCTATAATTGATTCTTGTTCTGCCTTGCTATTTTCTCACTGATATGTTCCTTTTTTTTCTGTCTCTTCTGGTCCTGTTAATAGCTACTCATTGAACTCTAAATAGCAGCAGAGTCCATGAAGTATATGTATCCCACAAGCACATATGTGTACACATGGGAGTTCTGATTGTCAGAAAAGATACGGATTTGAGGGCCAGCAAGATGGTTCAGCTGGCAAAGGTGCTTGCTGCCAACTCAGACAACCTAAGTTTGATCCCCTGGGCCCATGATGATTAGAAAGAGAGAACTGAGTCTTTCAAGTTGTCCTCTGGCCTCCCCATTATGGGCATATGTGCATTCTTCTCCCCCAACACAAAGTCCATGTTTGACAGGCTACAAGGTAAGAATTTAATTATAGAGAGCGGTCTGTAACAGCTGTCCTGAACTTACATTGTTTTTAGCTTCAAACAGTGTTAATGATGGCAATAGATGTTGGTTATGAAATGTTTTTCCTTTAGACTTAGAGAAAATGTGGATCTCCTTAAAATGTAGTTCAGACTTTAAAAACAAAATTATTTGCATGATTTTAACTTAATTATGACAGGGTCTATGATTGATTTTATTAGTCTGGTTAGTCTAGAATTCTGTGAATAAATGTCTTCATGAACACTTCCTAGCTTTCGTGCCAAGGCCTTCCCTTCTTTTGAGTGGTGAGAATGTAAAACTCTGGTTGCTTGTCAAGGATGTTTAAAAATCTGTTTTGTACCAGCCATAACTTTCTGCCTTTCTTTTTGATCAGTTACATATATCATGAGATTAATAAGCATTATAAATAGTTAGTGCTCACAGTGCCACTCACTAGCCATTTCTAAGTGGACCTTCCTTTCATAAAAATGTTATGAACTATCTACTTGGAAGCATCTGCCCATGTCTCTAAAGTGTGTAAAAGTACAACCCACTCTGGGCTTCAATGAGATGGGATAAGGGAACAGCAGGATGTTAGATCTGGAAGACATCCCGCAGTAAGGACGTCAACGTGTGGAGGAGGGTGGTGTATTTCTAATCCCCCATAGGCTGTTGTATGTCCTCAACACACATCCAGCCAAGGCTAACTTCTTAACTGGGCCCACCAAGTGCTCAGTTCATTTTAACTTTATTCCTAGGGTTAGAAAATTGTTTTCATATTAGCCTAGTTTTGTTTGGTATGAGCTGTGTGAGTAGTTTGCACGCAGAACACATGGATCAAGAACTCAGGGCCCTTATGTGTAATCCTGTCAAAGCAGGAGGTGGAGGCCGCAGACACCTCTGTGAAAAGGTGCAGCAACTGTCTGGGATAAAGTGACTGCTATCTTCTGACAAGCATCAGGGACTGTAGACCTGTTGTGACAGCGACTGGACATACCAAAACGTATTACCTGCCCCAGCCTGTGTTAGGAAAGGAACTTGAATGTCTTCCTCAGCCACATGAGACTCCCTGTGTGAAGGCTCAGGGACAGCAGACCAGCATGGCTTAAACCCATCCATTTTTGAGTGTGTTTCTCTGCCAGGCAGCAGCGTGACAACGGTGTCCTTGGCATTAGAACTGGATTTTAAGCATCCTCTGCTTTGAACATTAACCCAGTGCTCCTCTTATGCTTTGACACGTTTTCAGAAATGATGGCTCTGAGACTGTCCTCCATCTGTCCTCATGCCTGGATCTGGTTGGTGAGATGTTTTGAGGGAAGTCTGTGACTCTTAACCGACTCATTTTTAGTTTTGGGCAGTTAACGGTCTTTACCACAGTCATTATAGTTGCTTAGCAACAATGGACAGCAGAGCAGTGCCAGGGATTCCAAAACTCTAAGGAATGAGGTTAGTTGGTGTCTGTCCATGGACAGAGGATCCCAATGGGCCTGGTCTTGATATGGGAGGATGTCACAGCAAGAAAGTTGTAATCCCAGACTTTGAAACTCCAGCAAAATGCAGGTGAGTCCCCAGTTCCTTCTGTCCAAAAATAATCCATGGAAATTTCTGGATAAAGTAACCTTCACTGCAGACTTCAAAGATAACCTTTCTTTAAAGTCTTGGGGGAAACATCAAAGAGATTTTTTTCCTTTCCTGATGAATGACCTTTTTCTATGGAAGATTCTGTCTTCCGATCACAGGGCAAGGCCTGAGGTGTGGTAGGTTTCAAGAAGTGCTCTTGTCAAAAGAGTAAGAACGTCCTTCATGTACATTTCTCAGACTTAGACACTCGCCCACCCCAAGCAGCTTAATAGTGTGAGAAGGAGGGTACTGAAGCAGCCAGCCCTCTTTTCAGAACCACAGAAAAGCAGCAACACTATCCCCACTCTCCAGCCAGGATGCTCACAGATAGGTGGGGGCGTTCCTACTCAACCTGTTTTCTAAGGAGAAATTACCAACCAACCTTGACCATAGGCATGGATGTAGAGATGGCTTCTTTGATCGATCTGCAGTCAATCACTGGAAAATTTGCACGTGGGCTCAATACACATTTCCCCTTCAAATATGGAGATCGCTTCTGTTCAGAATTTTCTTTCAAATCTTGAGTGAAATGATTGTGCTCTTTTTGTAGAAGAAGCTGTCTCCTGAAGGGCAGTTTCCTGTGGGGGTATGCACCTATAGCCCTGGATTCTACTTCATTTGGCTTTAAACTGTGTCTTCATTTTAGTGACTACGTGAGCTTTGCTTTCTCACATTGGACCCGAGGTTCATGACTAATATGGAGAACTCATTAAGCTCTTACTTTTTTATGTAAAAAAAAAAAATCTTGTTTCAATGTGTAATCTATGAACCTCAAAAGATGCACAAACTCGTTTTATGTCCAACTTTGAAGCAATGAAACTTAGCAACTGTTCATTTTCTCTTAATTTCCATTAAGGAATCCCCCAATGGACTGATATTTCAATATGCAGACATTTAGAAAGGTGAATAAAGTGTTCCAAATGGAGGCCAAATGTCCTGTGATTATCAACTGCGACATGAATAACCCAGTGTGAAGCAACAGTGATGCCCAGGGCAAAGCAGGACACTGTTCTCATTGTCAAGGGTCCTGTGGGCTCTTGTTCTGATAGCCAGAGCCAACTGTGGGGTGCAGGTAGCGATCAGGGCTTCTGGGGTAAAGACAGGGAAGTAGTCTACTGCCATTCTTGGTCCTCAGGTGGGTGCAGCTTAGTAGTTTCTCTTCTGAGCTGGTATGAATGGGTCTCCTGATTTTGCCCACCATTCTCCTTTGCCCTCTTCCCATCCCCTTGAGACAACCCCCCTCCAGCGTTTTTACAAACCAAATGGGAACTTGATTCTAACTTCCCTAAACAAAGGAGGGTGAGACCCCAGATGCTACAAATCCATGGACCAGAAAAGCATCTTACGAGGACCTCCTCCTCTGTGAGAACAGGGTGCTCACCTGCTGTACTGCCAAACCAGTTGTGCTGAAATCCTGTATTCCCACAGCCACTAATACAACTCCAAAATAAAAACCTTAGAGGAAAGCCTAGCAATCAGACACATTTTTTTTTTTTTTTTTTTTTTGGTTTTTCGAGACAGGGTTTCTCTGTGTAGCTTTGCGCCTTTCCTGGATCTCACTCTGCAGACCAGGCTGGCCTCGAACTCACAAAGATCCACCTGCCTCTGCCTCCCGAGTGCTGGGATTAAAGGAGTGTGCCACCACTGCCCGGTCAGACACATTTTTTTAAAGGGAAAGAAATGTTTACACTTTGGTAAGGCACGGAAAGAAAATAAACTACTTCTAGCCTCGCATGATATCACCACACACCATGCCACAGATGTTTAATGAAGCTTTTCAGTTTTCCCATGAATCCTGAAGCAAGAAAACACTGAGACAAAAACAGGCTCAAAAATATATTTGTTAATTCCATGTTGCTTTATCTCAAGGCTAATAGATCTTCTGGAGCTTTTTTTTTTTTTAATTACTATACATGTCCCCGGCGTGTATGCTGAGTTACTATGGTTACTCTGAGGCCGTGACTCATGACCTTTAAATGTTATTGTCAGGTGGCCAAGGCTCTCTTGTTTTGAAGCCAGTGGTTTTGTTTCATGCTTTATTAAAATGGGGTGGGTTTAGTTGCGCATCCATGGCTTATCCGAGTCAACTCAATGAGTATGCTCTGGTCACAAAAGCTGAACATGCTATTGGGTAAATAGAGTACAGTACTTGTTCTCTCCCTGTAAAGGTGTCCCTGAGAGATTAAAAACCACAGGTACACAATTAATTATATACACCCTTAAACACAATGAGGGCTCTAAGAGAGATACCTAAAAACTGCTTGTGGAATACAAAGGGGCCCAGAGGCTTCTGGAAGAGGTAGTGTTGAGTGTGGTGTAAAGAACTGTCTAACCTTCAGCAAGACAGGAGAACTCAAATATTTTATTAAGAAGAAATACTGAAGCACATACTCTGGAATCATTATATAATACAGTTCATAGCACCTCAGCTGTGTGAGGCACACCGATGGAAGAGAAGGAGAGAAGAAAAATAAGAATGCCTAGATCATTACGTTCCTTCAGTGCTGTGTGTTGATTTTTCCCCACAACTGGAAAGAAGAGGCTACTTTTTACTCTGTGATAAGGAGGGACTGTCAGATAGGAAGCACCAAAATATCATGTTTTACTAGTGTACATGTGATTCAAGAAAAGTAATTACATTTCTTAGAACTCATGTCTTCTTCCATTAAGTGAAAATTGGGTTAATTTTACCCATTGGTCACTGATTGCTGTGTGAACCTTTTTAGACGGTAGAGATTGAGTGGGTTGGGGTTTTAAAGGAAGGCTCATCAGTCGGCAACTATGCGATTGAATGTGCTAACCTGGTGACGCTTACTGAAGCGCCCGGCTAGCCATTGACTCTTTCCACCGATGCTAACCAGCCTTTCAGTCTTCAAGATGCTAAGTATTGGGGCTGGAAGGCAACTTAGGGACTCATCCCTTGATTAGCATGTGCAGGACCCCAACACTTGAGCACGTGGAGAAGTTGCCAAGGACAGAGTAACAAAGCTAAGAGGAAAGAGGAAAAGGTATCCTGTACATTGAAGGAATGTTCTGGGCCAGCTGTTAGGCAACACATGTATAGTAAATAAGTAAACCACGCAGAATGTCAGAAAGGAGCTGCACCAGCAGGGAAAATCAAGTGCGGTGAGATGAGGCTTGGATTGTAAGTCAGATGCACATGGTAGGTCCATGGAGGAGATGGTATTTGGGCAGAGACAGGAAGGAAAGAACAAGTAGCCACATGGATCCATGTATATTCCTAAGGGTGAGGGATGCCTTGGGAGCCAGGGGATGAAGAAATTATTTCTAAGAAGAGGTGATGAGTCATGTGAAAAGCTGTTAAGGTGGATTGCCTCAGGACCAGTGTAGATAGCAACGAGGGGCGTCCTGGTAACATGCCACATTACCATGGATTGGTGCTAGGGAAAGCCTGATAGGAATGAGCGGAAAGGACTGGGGGCCAATGAAAAAATAGTTTTTGCCAGGAAGGGGGTTAGCGGAGTCAAGCAGACACTTAAAAGTCAGGAAGGCTCAAGCTGAAGTCAATGACATGTTAAAGCCTGGGGTCAGACGGGGAAGAAAGAGGAGATGAGAGAAGGGAGGAGAGGGGAAGGAGGCAGGGAGCAGCGACCGCCCTCCTGCTTTTTCACAGAGAGGATGTGTCTTCCTCCCTTTTCTTTTTTTAGTTGAAATAGGAGATTTTGCAGGGTTTCCGAACAGACCGCACCACCGCTCAGTCTGCTTATTCTCAAGGGAGACTTGAAAGGCTGCTTTATCTTCCAAGTCAAGTTTACATTTGGTTCTTTGACTTCCTTCTGAAATGTCCAGAACATTATATTTGGGGGAAATACTCTCAATTTTTAATTTTACATGTTAGAGTGTAAAGACCTATTCAATGTGATTCATTCTCTCTCTCTCTCTCTCTCTCTCTCTCTCTCTCTCTCTCTCTCTCTGTGTGTGTGTGTGTGTGTGTGTGTGTGTGTGTGTGTGTGTGTATGTGTGTGTGTGTGTGTGTGTAGCTGCCTAAAATAAAATAAAACTTTTACTCACTTCCAGCATGTCATCCACGTCGCTGTGTAGATCGTGTAGGTCGATGTTTGGAAGTTATCAGTCAGATATACAGCCACAAAACAGAATATCGGTAAGAAATAAACTTTGCCTGGTTGATTTTCTGTTAAAAAATATGTAATTTAATATTGAGGTTTTCTTGACAAAGTTTAGTTTTCACATCCAATTAGTAAATGTTTTTAAATAAGTCGTGGAATGTTCTTTCCCAAGCAGGATGCTGAAGGAAAGGGAATGAGGATGTTTGGGGGGAAGAAGATGGGAGAAGAGATGGTAGATGAAAGTGATGTGGTACGGCCTTTCTCCTTTTAACACGTCATGATGTCCCATTGTCTTTGTGGCCCTAAGATAGCTTAGATGTCCTGGGCTATTTCAAGCATTTGTTTATATATGAGGAAGTCCTGAGTTGAAACATGACATAAATCCAGCAGAGTGTATTATTTGGTTTAGTTAAGCTTGGGTTTAAAAAAAACACAGTCTATTCCAGATATATGCAGCTTGGGTCTCTTTCAAGGCTGTTGAAGTAACTGGTTCTGGCCTCAGAGGTCCTCTGTAGTTCTGTCATATACTGGGAGCACTGGCCCTTTTCCCCCCAACCCCATTGCGTCCCTCTCTGGCCTTTGAATAAATCTAAGTGGTCCTCCAGAAGTGGAAGCTAGGTGAGGACCGAACTTGGAGGGTATATTTTTATGCAAGTGTAAGAGTTTTCCTTAAGTTTCCCTCAGCTTCTCTTGGTTCAGTCTTAGGACTTTCTAGACCCTACTCAAAGGCATTTCTCAGACTACCTAAGCTCTGAGTTATAGAGGGTGGTATAGCGTACAAGTTCAGAAAACTAGGATTCAAAACACAGATCCAGGTTCGGTTCTCACCTCTAAGCTGTGGGATTGTAGCCAATTCCTTTCATCTCTGTGAGCCTTACTTTTCACCTCTGGTGTTGATGACAACGCGTCTTGAGTAATCAGCTTCAGGTGAGATGTTCAGGGTCTGAAAACATCTTGGCAAGAACCTAGAAAACCCAGAGAAGCTACTGATCTGACAGCACTCAACGCCGCGGCGGTGCCCATCAGGAGGCTACTTCCCGTCCTGTGCTTTCTCGGGCTTTGCCCTGAGGTCTGCTCTCCTCCCAACAGCATGGGTTACAACAGGCAACTCCCTTGAGAGATGCATATCCAGGACATCATCACCTTTGTGCAAGTGATTCAGTTCATAAAATGCTAACCTCTGGGCCTGGCGAGATGGCTCAGTGGTCAAGAGCACTTGCTGCTCTTGTAGAGGACCCTGGTTCAGTTCCCAGCACCCACAGGGTGCCTCACAACCATCTGTAACTCTGGTTTCAAAGGATCTAGTGCCCTCTTCTGGCCTCCATGGACACCAGGAATGTGCACACATATGGACTATGCACTCATACATATGAAATAAAAATAAATATATCTTTGAAAACAGAACTTACACACCTCTATTCTCCAGTGTATTTCTAGTTCTAGACAAACTGAGCATAGCTCTCAAATCCATAAACCATTTTCAGAAGGAAGTATGTTGTTAGAAAAAAATGTTAAGTGGAAACTCAGTTCAACTCATTAAATGATTTTCATTAAAAATCTAGCCTGCATACATTGCTTTTTTTCAGTTAGGTGGGAGAAACTGAATAATGAATTTTGACTTTATTTAATGAAGCTATTTATGAATATGTGGCTTAAAAATCTCTCCCCTATTACCTTTCTTTTTGATGGCAACCTTTGAGTCTGAGAAATGGGCTACTTCGTGGCCCCAGTGTCTGTCCTCTAAATGTGTATATCCACCAGTATTTCCTTAGTGGCATCCACACTGATGAGGACAATGACCGCATTAGAATTCTGCCTGGGGCTCCCAATTAGCTTCCCAGACTTCAGAATCTATCCCTTTCCAATTTATGGTTGACGTGATTGGGATGTCTAGGGCTTGGAGGAGCCAGCTCTGCTTTCTTTCCTGTTAAGTCTCTAGACGATTACGCATTTAGCTGGAGGAAATCAGGCTCAGTGACCACAGAGGCCATGGCATATCCATAGTTACTGCTGTCCCCTCTACCATCCAGTTCTGTCAAGTCATGGAAATTTTAGGACAGAATACCTCAGAACACTTACGTAGTATGAGGCACAAAAATGTGGGTGGCAATCAGATGCGTCTTCTAAATCATTAGATTTGTTTGGGCAGAGAAGGTGGTGATATGAAGGATGAAGTCCTTTTCAGTCATGTGAGGTCCTCTTGGCCATGCAGGCATATTGGCACATACTCTACCTGTCAGTCACACTGGCATGGAGATGTGTCTCTTCTTTGTCTTTAGTAGACTGCCCTCTTAAATATTTTAAGTTCCACATACTCGATAAGCTGGTAATTCTTAAAGAGATGGACTTTATTTCTTAGTCTCCATGAATCTGTAACCAAATTTCAGACATCTAAATGGCTAAGTATCATTTGAAATAAAAATTATGGGCAGCTACAGGCATAGAATGGGGCATGTCCACTCATACCATTACAACAGCACATGAGTAGGGTCCAAAAGCATCACAACTGTGTTGATGAGTTTCTTCTTTATGCTATTAACTGTTAAGAAATGGTGATTTATGGAGGCTTAAGGAGATTTCAGATGTGAGGGATGAAGGAGAAGAATGTGTTCATATTTGATAGGGACATTCTAGGACAATCTGATGAGAACTAGATTCACTTCTAGGATACCCACAAGGCCCCCATTTATCTCAAACTATTCCTTTGAGCCAACTGGAGAATCAAGATGTTATGGAGAAGCAAGAGAAACAAAATGTCTTTTCTCCATTTTATCATCTGACAGAAAATACCAGTATATATAAATGATCTCACTTGAAGCTGTTTAGGAAATAAAAATTCTATTGTACAGACACTTGGCCTTAAAATTGTCAGAATTGTTCTCCCCAAGTTAGTCTTGAGAATCCTGGCAGGGGGGAATATTAATGTCCCTGGTTTCAAGGAGAGGCACACCCAAATCCAGAATATAACTATGGGTTTAGGCATACTAAGATTATCACAAAGCTGTTCACTTCCCAGCTTCGATTTAGTGACAGCTTCATTAAAGAATCATTATTTTAGTGCCAAAGATACAAAAGTTCTTTGGGCTTTTTAATTTCTGTGGTTGGGTTTACAAGATGACCTGAAGTTAGCTAAAGGAACCCACGTTACGTGAAAGAGATGCTAAGCCATGTCAAGTCATTGGCTCTGCTTGTCCTGCTCTGGCCTGAGAGTGGCAGCAGCCAGATTTCCACTTTCTCCAAATTCTAACATTCTACAATGGGCTTTTAGAAGATCCTTCCCTTTGATGAGCAGAAGTTCAAATCATTAACAAATCAAGGTGTCAACAGGACACTGCACTTTAAAGGAACATTTCAAGGGACTTCAATGCCCTTTCATTCTTCAAATGAGAGCAACACAGACCTGTGTTTCTATGTATATTTAAATAGAAAGGTTTGTCAGGATTCTAGAAAAATAGGTTAGATTTCAAAGCTTACCACTTTAATAAGGAAAAAGTAATAACTCAGAACATTTGCTCTGCCTGCCTCCTTCCTCCCTTTCAGTTTCTTTTCAGAGTCATAATAGACAAAGTTAAAGTATACATGTTTTGGTGCACAGTGAGGTCCTCCTCTCAATTAGGATAATAGAGCTATCTATCAACCCTAAAACTCTGTGTCTCTTGGAAACCGCCCCCGCAAACAACCCTCCAGCATTTCCCTGAGCTTCATATACAGGAGTCACACAGTAGGTACCTTTTCCATTGGACTATTTGACTTAGGAAAAAAAAGTTATTTTGTGGTCCACTCATGTTTCAGTATGTCAGCAGTTCACTCTTACTGTGGACTCAGATTCCTTTGTGGGGGATGTACATCTGTGTTTATCTTTTTGCCTGTTGACTGGGTTATTTTGGGGTTATTTCTAAGGTTTGGGTTTCTACAAATGAAGCTAGGATGTTCATGGTTGGGTCTTTGTATGCACATATGGTTTCATTTCTTTTGGGTAAACTCCTAGAACTGGAATGGTTGAATCATATGGTGAGTGTTCCAGTCTTTGTATGGAAATGATTCCCTGCCCCCATCTTGGGTAAATACCTAGGAGTGGAATGGTTGAGTCATATGATGTAGCTCTGACTTATTTTGTTTAACTGCTAAAATGTTTTCCGAAGTGGTTGTTGGCACTTTTGCCCCTTTACCAGAGGCAGGAGGAATTTCTGTTCCTGTACATTATTTCCAAACCTGGTAAAGTTAACCCTTTGAATTTTTGCTTTTCTGATATTGTAATTATACCTCATTGTGGTTTTAATTTGTATTTCCTTAAGTAACAAGTGGTGTCAATCATTTTACATGTCATCTTGCTATCAGGTACTTAAATATTTTGTTCATTTGTATGGTACACTGCTTGTTTCTTATTACAGGGTATTGAAAGTTCTTTTGAAAATATATTTGGGGTATATGTAATTTTTTTGTATTTTATCATTCTGACAGTATTTTCTCCAGTCTTGGTATGTTCCCTTTGTTCAATCAACAGTGTCTTCAGAAGAGCAGAAGTTTTCAATTTGGTGAAATCTAATTTAATAACGGCTACTTTCATGGCTCATGCTTTTGGTATCTCATCTAAGAAATCTTTGCCCAAGGACACAGATATTTGTTCCCAAGATTTTGTCTAAGAGTTTCATAGTTTGGGGTTTTATAATTAGGTCTAAGATCCATTTTAATTTCATTTGACAGCTAGCTAGGTTTCTTTTCAGGAATTCCCTTCAGTTGGAAACAGTTGCCACAAGATCACAGAGAGGTTTCCAATGATGACTTGATGTAGGGCCTCTGAGCCGTGGCTTGGACCATTCATTAGAGATGGCCAACTTGCCGAGCTGCCCTTTGAGATGAGCTGGGACCCGACTGCCTTCCTTCTACCAGTGCCCTCTCCTATCAAACCTCTGGTGCCAGATCTCTCTTTCCAGTTCAGTTTGTTGTGGCCCTAATGTAATCAAGTCACAAAATCAAAGTTATTGGTCAGCTAATGAAGGAGATTTTGTGAGAGATAATTCACAAGAAGAGCTAA